TAGAGAGTCAAGAAGTTATCAAGAAGAATAATTAAGTTTAGTAAAAGTAATTACTACTAAGTTAAGAATAGTTAATTAGTATTTTTTTTAATAAACACATATATCTTATCTTATATTTTATCTTATTTTCTTCTTGTTCTATTGAGAAAGTATTTTGAACAGAAGTAAATTCACATATATTATTTTATTAAGAAAATAATTATATTTTTATTAGAAGTAAATCTTGCATACATCATCTTATTGAAAAGATAATCAGTTATATAATCTCTTGAAATTATAAAAGTTAATAACTGTCATAAATACAGTTATTATTACTATTTTAAAATAATTATATATACATAATCTTAAAATAGTAATAATATAATAAGATAATTGATAAAACTAATTCATAAATTATAGAATAAAAGAAAAAGAGAGTTTTTTTTATAATTAAAGAAAGATTATTAAATTAAAGAAATTTATATTATTATGATAATAATATATTTTTAGTCTTTAGTTTTGATAAATATTTAATAAGTACCTTTAAATAAGACTTATCTTGTTACTAATTAGAAATATTATTAAGTAAAAGATATATAAAATATTCAGTTATCTTTTCTAATTGATCACAAGTTATTATATCAGAATAAAGAATAATTAATAATAATCAGTTATCAAGAGATATAGTTAATTCTATTTCTTTTCACCATTTATTCTCAAATTATTCATTATAAATCTGTAATTCCTAATTATTTTTAATCTCAGTTTTTTTTAATATTATAAAGTGAATTCATTACTAGCTCCAGATTAAAGTAAAAGAGCTTTAATATTTTGAATTATTAATTAGTAATAAAAAATATATTTTGTTTCTTGAAAATTGGTTATAAGTACTTCTTTAAAATTAATATATGAAAATTTAGTATTATTAAGAAACTCATAATCTTCTTTAGTACTTTTAGATAAAGAACTTTCTTTTATGTTAGCACTTTCATTAAACTATTTAATTATTTTATCACCACAAATATTTGATAATTAATATTTTGTTATAAGTTTCATAAAGCTATGATAAACTTTATTTAACTACTTAACTTCTTGTAAATATATATAATCATTAATAGTATTATCTAGTAATATTTTTTTAGAATCTTTCAAGAGAATTAAGAATAGAACTGTAAGATTAGATATTTTTTTTATATTTATAAATATTATTCTTAATTCTAAATTATCAAAGTAATTTAAATTCTATAAATTGAATAATTAGTATATTATGAAAAAATATTAAATAATGATATATTACATTATTTTAGTTTATCATTTCTTTATACTTTGATATTATTATTATTTTTTCTTTACTTTCTAATATATTTGAGAAATCTAATAAATAATTAAAAGCAATTTCAAGATTATCTCATAGTTTGAATTTCTTATAAATAGGTAATAAAGCAATAAGAAAAATAAAAACTGATTCTTCAGATTGTGTTAAAATGGGATATTTACTAAAAATATGACATTTAAGAACATAAGATGTTAAAAAATTGTAAAAATAATAAATATATTAGAAAAATATTTTTCAAAGTATATTTTTTTTTAATATTATTACCATTTTTGATACCTCTTGAAAAGATTATTTTATGATAGGTTAATAACTTTATATATAATATTTGGCTAAGATAAGATATAATAAAGATATTATGAATTACAGATAGAAGAGACTAATATAATCAAAGATATAATGTAATAGGCATTAGACTATGATTATAATAAGATTAAAGATAGGTAACAAGGATATATTCATGTTGTGGTCAGCTAGAATGAGATCTGGAATTATAATATAAAGAATGTATGATAATAAATAAGGTATTATTAATAAAGGTCATTAATTTATAATATTATTATGTTTAAATTATTATTTTACCTTATTATTATTTAATTCATTAATTTATTCATTATTTATTAAGTCATTTTATTTATTAACTTAATTTTTATTTATTTCTCTTTTTTTTTAATTTCTAACTAAGATATATTATTTTTATACATTTTAAAGATTTTACAAATGATACTTTTGTTATGATCTAAATGTTACTTTTGCTAGTGTCATAATATCAGTTTTATTATGATAATATTGTTAGTTTTACTATGATAGTTTTGCTAACTTTACTATGATAATTTTGTTATGAACATTATGCTTGTAAAACTATCTAAAAATATCTACCAATAATACTATCTTAATTATTATCCAATAGAATATAACTAAATAATTATCCAATAAAAATACGAGTATAAAATAAATTAATATTAATAAAATATATATAAAAATTTATATTATAACAGTTCCCGGATTTTTAAATATTTTACTCTGTAAAATAAAAATAATAATAATAAAAAATGTATGAAGTTTATCTTTTTGCTAACATTTCAAAATATTATTTTCTTTTATGTCAGATTTATATAAAAATAAACAATAATATTACATGTAGCTTATGATCAACTCTGTGATAGATACTATAAATTATTATTATTATATATAATAATGGAAGAATTGAAAGACCCTGCAAAATGCTAATTTATAAATTTCAATAATAATGTAATTAATATTTCTAACTTGAACTTGCTTGGATGAGATGAAAACAAAGATCCAGGTACTTGTTCTATTAGATAAGTAAAGAGTAAAAATGTGTAAAGAAAGTATTCTTTTATAAAGAAGAAAAATATGATAAGAGTTTAATGATCAATATCTATAGATAAATAAAAGAATAATTTTGGAAAAATATATATGTAAACTTGAATTATTTAACTGGAAATAAATAAATAAATAAAATAAATAATTTCAAAAATCTTAAAAATATTAAAAATCTTAAAAAATAACTCAATTTTGGTTGGACTTATTGATATGGCCAACTTTGTGCTGTCTTTAATTGGTATATCTGCATATTAAACTTTTTTGATTAGGCTTATTGATATGGCCAACTTTGTACTATCTCTAATTAGTGCATCTATACATTAAACTAAAAAACTAAAAACTAAAAATCTTTAAAAACTTGAAAAATTTAATACTTAAAAATAAAAAATCTTCAAAAATATTAGGGATATTTGACTGTTCCCAAAGTCTAAGTTAAAAAAATATGTTTGTATTGTTCAAAAATAATTTCCAGTCAAAATAATTCAAAAATATGTAATATAATTCCAAAATTATAATATAATTTCTTAATTAATATTTATTATCCTGTTAATAGTTGATACTAATTGAGTTTTTGCATCTATTAAAGAGTTCACATTAACAATAGATTACTTCATTAATAAAAAATTTGTTGTGATCTACTTGTTATTCTCTTGAAAAAATAATTTTTCTCTAAAAAATTCAAGTTTAATGCCAATTATAATTTCGTGTAAACATTTAACATGATCTTCATAACTCTTAATTTATTTATATCATCCCTGAATTCTATTTTTGGATTTTTTTTATTATTCAGGAGTTTACTACATTATGAGAAAAGTATTGAGAACCTATTATATTATTTTCTTGCTTTATTGAGTCATTTGGATAGCTTTATTGCTTTTATTTTTTTTCTATTAAGTTATTATTTGCTTTATATAATAAAAGAAGAGAATTTGCATTTTCGAATTTTGATCATGTGACTTTTATCTATCCTGTGACATGTGACTTTTGAGGCTTGTGGCTGATTCGCATGGCTAATAATTTCGTAATTTTGGCTGAAATTATAACTCATAATTTCTAAGTCACTTTAAAAAAAAATTCATTGATCTATGATTTGATTAGTCGAAACTTTTCACGTGACATATGATCTCATGTGACATTTGATGATGTCACCGTGATCATATTTAGTACTCTAGCCATGACAAAAAAAAGGTGTCGGGTCATGTGATTTCTAAAGATCACTGATCCATTACTTACATCCAAGATTTCTGAAAGGATAGATTTTGCTACAGCCAATCAAACAGAACTATTGATATAGCTAGTAGTTATTATTATAAGCTTTAATTGCTTGTGTTAAATGACTATTTGAAGACTTCACATTGTTTATATATTGGACGAAACTTGTCTTTGTGTATTGTGTGTGGGTTTCCAAGATCTTGTTAGGTTTGGGTGATTTTTTGGATATATTTTTTTTATTTTTTTTTTAAGTTATTGAGTTCTTATTTTTCTTGCTATAAGTTTTCGAGTTTAATGTTAGTGGATTTATTGGCATCAGCTTTTTCTTGGTCTTTGCATTCTCTTTCGAGTTGTTCTTCAAAGATTTTATAGGTGTTAGCAAGAGTGCATTTTTCGACTAGATCGAGAGTTTCATCAATTATAATGAGATGGGTTTGGATTTCTTGGTTAGCTTGTAAGCAAGATATATTATAATTATTTTTCATGTTACAAGAATTATATCAGATTCTATATAGAGCATATCTTCCAGAGTATATATCTAGAATAATAGATTTGATAATGAGGATAATAATTATATTTAATTATATGTTTTACTATAAACTAACATAATCAAAATGCAAGCTTTCCATTTGACTTCCAGGTTTTCTGTTGACTATGAGCTTGTAATACTTTCTGGCACTCATTAACTTTCTTCACCAATGATTTTATCAAGCTATCAAAAATGTTTACAAATTTGTTATTATTGATCTCTCATTTGTATAATTCTAATGCATTATCCATTATTTTTTTATACTCAGAAAGCTTTTTTCATCTTTCCTCAATAATGTCATGCTTTACTATTGAGTTATCAATATTAAAGCTGCCTTCACCAATAGGAACATCTGTCACGGTCATTCTGTATGTAATCCAAGCATTATTCACTGAATTTATTGTTAGTACCTTATCTTTCCCAAAGACAAGCAAAGGGTAATCATATCGGCGTGTTGTCTCTGTGAAAGTAGACCAGAAATGAACACCATCTTTTTTTGTTACGAGGTGTTTACAAATAAGATAACGACTACATAAGTATGCAAGGCAAGAGCATATCCAGTTTTTTACATCAATATGATAAGTTTTATCCATGTTCAGTCAGATTTCGGCAATTGCTAGTTTATTCTAATCTTTTTTGAAATCTTCTCACCATGCTGAAAAAGATCGATTACCATCAAACTGGTTTATTTTGATCTCAAAATCAGAGATTAATTGTATTGTAATAATTTGGATAAGATGATCAAGGCGTAACCTGTTATAGTTATACTTGTAATTATATTTAAGAATCCGCTAATAACTTTCTATAATCATGATAGTTCGTGCTAGTGGTATGGCAACTGGATATGCAGATCGGGTAAAGAGCTTCCAATCTTTCTTGTTGTACCAATTAATCCATAGGTAACCCCAAAGCTTGGAAAGATTATGGATATGGCAGAATCAGTAAACCTCCTTTACGTAATTGTGATAAATTTCAGCAAAAGTCCAGAAAATATCCTGTGCTATAGGTATAAGCGGATGCATATTTGCATGTTTTTTTATCATTTCCAAAAGTTCTTTAATAGAACTGTCTGGATATAGGATTCCATTATTTCTATTTGGTATCCAGTGAGGGTTAATGAACTCGAACTGTTGGTGAGCCTCTGTAGCTTTCATTATAGAATATGCATTTGCTTTTGATTTTCTGTTCTTTAACCGTCTGTCTATGGCATGTTTGAGATGCCAATAATACAACTAAATATTGGTGACCCATGACTATGCTTCACCGATAGCTGAGATCTCTCCAGCATTCTTATCAACGAGAGCAAATATTGACAACAACCCTATTCACCAAAGGCTAAGAAAAAACTTACAAAGAGCTTGTGACCTCATATTAACTTCATTCTTGGAATCATGACGTGCTTAGTCAGTGCTATTGGATGTTAAAAGATAGAGATATGCTGACGGCATGCCATATCTGCCGCAATTAGCATTGACAATAAAAAGCTCGAAATGTTCTTGATTTATTTTGAATGTAGAATCTACAATGATCTCATTCATATTTTTAACACCAATATGATCGAGCAATGGTATTATAAATCTAAGGGCTCTCACGAAGTCATTTTCAAGATAATATATTGTTTTAAATCCTCTTATTGCGAATTCAGGTTGTTCGAAATATGCCTTTGTTGATAAGATCTGGTTAGCCGACTTTATGACATAAATTTTCTTGCTAAAGATGGATGCCTAGTAATAGACTTGCTCTTTCGTATGCACCACCGGATTAATATGTCTTTCATTGCAAAGATGTCGGTAAAGTTCATGACTTCACAAATTATACACAATATTTTCCTTTATCCACTCTCTCACTTTTATAGGAAACTGTATTTTTTGATATTGTAAATGCGAGTGTTGCGTTAGATGTTGTACTTGGACTAGGACACAATATTGTTGAGAATCAATTATAAGTGAAATTTTTTCTTCACACACATACCTATCAATTGGAGCTCAAGCTTCACTTTTTCGTTTAACTGGCTGATTCTCTGATCTTTGCCACTGATGGTTCTCTCATTATGCATATTCAAGATATATTGTTGTGCAACTAGTGAATTTCTTTTTACTATAGTTTAGATGTATATTACATATTTCTCAGTAATAATAAGATCCAGATTCGATAGCTATAATAACAATCTTTACAAGTTGGCAGAAATTATCCTTGATTTTTTCTAAATCTATCATATCTGATTGAAGATCACAAGAAATATATTCAGCAAAAATTGGATCTAATTCAATTTCAAAAACCTCTTTTATAGGTTTATTTTCATTTTCTAATTCTTGAAACTTTGTACTAATATATCCTTCTATTTCATCTAAATTATAGAGTAATCCAGTATTATCATTATTGAAGTAATTATTTTGAGTATTGACTACATCATCTCCTGCTTGTGAGTTATTTATTTGTTCGAAGCTTCTGTCATGCTCAAGGAATGGCTCAAGATCATCCAAGTTATTATTGATCTGGAAAATATGAGTGGTATTTGAGGGATTGCTGCTACCTGAAGGATTGCTGCTACTGCTCGAAGGAATACTGCTACTGCTTGAAGAATTACTACTGTTGCCATTGTCATTGCTCGAAAGATTATTGCTCAGAGGATTACTACTCGAAGGATCATTGCTCTGGATTATCTCTTTAGGGATGGTTTCCAAAATTCTCACCTTTTTTCTTGATACTAGATCTACTCTTTGCCTTTTATTTTTGCACCTTTCATAGCACTGATTACAGGTATCATGTTCATATTACTAATAATTTGCATGGCTACAAATAAAATCTATAATTTTCTTCGTGGAATGGCAACCAGTACATATTTTTATTTGAAAGACTTGGACAGAAGCTATCAGAAAAGGTAAGATACATCTTTATTTATTTTACTTACATCAAGTAATTTTATTAATAATTAGGAAATAATATCTTATATGAATTATTCATTTTTTTAAGTTTTATGATACGTGTTTAAGGATGATATTACGCATTCTTGTCTTTAAGTTATCTATAATGGTGCCATCCCCTTTAAAAAAACCTCTTTAAACCCCTGCAACTCTTTCAGTCTTTTTGGTGAAGATCTACATAGTGTTAATTTAAATATCTATTATAATATAAATCCTTATCTAATAAGGTTTTTTTAATTACTAATATCATAATTTAATTTTAATACATTAAAATGGACATAGTGTAATTATATTACGTGGGTCAAAGAACCTCCAATATTTAGTGTAAAACATTTAAAGTTATCAAATATTTGTATTTATAAATTAAATAAATATCTTGACAATTATTTATGGATTAAATTTTAGATTTTATTTCTTGTCAAGATATTTATTTGATTTATAAATACAAATATTTGACAACTTTAACTGTACTTTATTCTGCATGTTACGATAATTATATGATTTGTTTGACTAATAAATAATTTAAATCCAAAAGTAGTTCTTTATCGCTACCTATCATTTGGTAAGTCTCTAGTATAATTTAATTAATGTTTGTTTTAATTTAGGCTAATAATACTTTATCTAAAGCATTTATATTAGTTTGGGCTAACAACCATTTAAATTTGCAAGTTGTCATTTATTTCCACTTATCATATAATAAGGATTCAGTGCAGTTTTTTTAATACGTTTAGTTATATTATATTAATGATTTATTGCAAAGTTGCTTTTCATTGTTATCTATCATTCGGTAAGATTTTTTTTAGTATAACTTCTTTTAAATTTAGTGATTTATTTTTAATTATAATTTCTTTTAATTTACAGATGATTTCTTCTAGTTTTTTATATATGTTAAAAATGTATTTTAACTTACAAATTAAAAAATTTAATAAATTAAATATTATACTTGTAAATAATTCTTTGCGTAAATAATCCTTTACTATAAATGCATTAATAGTCCCAATATTTTATAATTTGATTAGCTATCAAAAATTTACCAAGAAACCCAAACTCACCTCGCTGTAATTAACAAAACCCTCGACCTAATTGAAAAATGCACTCTTGCCAACACCCACAAAATCTTTGAAGAATAACTCGAAAGAGAATGCAAAGACCAAGAAAAAGCTGATGCCAATAAATCCACTAATATTAAACTCGAAAACTTATAGCAAGAAAAATAAGAACTCAACAACTTAAAAAAAAAAAACAAAAAAAACATACCCAAAAAATCACCTAAACCCAACAAGATCTTGGAAACCCACACATAACACACAGAGACAAGTTTTGTCCAATATATAAATAATGTGAAGTCTTCAAATGATTATTTAACACAAGCAATTAAAGCTTATAATAATAACTACTAGCTATATCAATAGTTCTGTTTGATTGGCTGCAGTAAAATCTATCCTTTCAGAAATCTTGGACGTAAGTAATAGATTAGTGATCTTTGGAAATCACATGACCCGACACCTTTTTTTTGCCATGGCTAGGGTACTAGATCACATTTTATCATTTTTGGTCTTTATTACTAATAACTCTTCTTTTCTTTAGTAAATTAGGTGGTGAATGATCCTATTGCATCCACAGAGGGGGTATCAAAATTTTGTTACCATTTTTGGTGTTTCTTGAAAAGGTTATTTTGTGATAGATTAATAACTTTATATATAATATTTGGCCAAGATAAGATATAATAAAGATATTATGAATTACGGGTGAGAGAGACTAATATAATCATAAATATAATGTAATAGGTATTAGATTATGATTATAATGAGATTAAAGATAGGTAACAAGAGTGTGTTCATAATGTGGTCAGCTAGAATGAGACCTGAAATCATAATATAAGGAATGTATAATAATAAATAAGGTATTATTAATAAAGATCATTAATTTATAACATTATTATGTTTAAATTATTATTTTATCTTATTATTATTTAATTAATTTATTCATTATTTATTAAGTCATTTTATTTATTTTATTAATTTTATTTATTTATTAACTTTATTAATTATTAATTATTAATTAACTTTTTTTTTCTAACTAAGATACATTACTTTTATATATTTTAGAGATTTTACAAATAATACTTTTGTTATGATCTAAATGTTATTTTTGCTAATATCATAATGTTAGTTTTGTTATGATAGCATTGCTAGTTTTGCTATGATAGTTTTGCTAACTTTGCTATGATAATTTCGTTATGAACAT